GAGGAGAGGAGAGGAGAGGAGGAGAGGGGATGAAGTCCTTGCAAGATGTTCTTTTCCAGGACATCCCTCCAGTGACCATCTTCTTCCAATGTACACTCATATTGTTTCCATTCTTAGTACTCACACAATTATGAGTGCATTAGTGTACGGTGTCATTCATAAATTCACAGGAACATTCACCTTTAATAGGGCTGCAGGACTAATCTTTCAGCACATCAGCATTTTCATGGAACACATCATATTGAAAACACCCCATACCCTAAGCCCCATTTTCTCAGTCCTGTATCCTCATTTCCTCCCCTACTGACCTTGAAATGACAGATTTTGAGATGCACAAAGCATCTGGCTCTGATTCACATAATAACTCAGCTTTAAAATGAAGGAATTTTGCTAATATTAGATACTCAAATTCAAATGCATACATAACTTTTAAATAAATTTTTGTTGACAATTTTATACATGCATACCATATGTTCTAGTAACCCCACCCTAAACACACCTTCTTATCTCGTTCCTCTTCTTTAATACAAATCTCTTTTCCACATTCACAAAGCTTTTCTTTATATCTAACAGAGTTTAACTGGGACCATCTGTGTGCCCATGGGTTTTGCACTGTCCAGTAAAACCTAGTGAGCTCACCAGGAGCGATACAGGTGGAATGTATACCTCCCTTGTCCCCATCATCTATTACCTGCCAATAGTTTAGTAGTAAGTGGTACTGTCCCTGGGAGCTGATTCCCCATGTCTAGCTGACTGATGGGCAGGCTTCTACTTGTGTGGGTCCAGAGACAGTAGGTGCAGGTGATGAAAGTTCATGATGGCCATGGTCGTGTCATGCTTTGAAGACAGCACTTCACAGTCCTTCTCCATAACTTTTTTCTACTTCTTTCCACTTCTTCTTCTACAATGTTCCTAGAGCCTTAAGAGTGTGCTATAAATATCTATATATAGGGATGAGTACTCAACCTTCCCTTATTCTCAGTATCCTGCACAGCTGTAGGTATCTGCAGCAAAGAGAGGCTTTTCTGAGGAAAATTAAAAGTAGTCTTTGTTTGTGATATAAACATTGATGTTTAGAAGGGCATTGATTCTATGTCCATTTAGCTAAGCATCAATAGGGCTTCTCTCAAAAGACTAATACCTCCAAAGACCTGGATTTGTTTGTTTTACTAACTTCACGGTGCTAGGATTGGATTCTATTTTGTGGATGGGCCTGAAGTGTAATCAGGGAGCTACTGGTTGCTCCCATCACAGTTGTGCCACGATTACATCTGGCCTGGCAGGATGTTTGTTTATGCCTTTTCTTCACCAGCAGCCTGAATAACACCATCTAACTCTATAAAAGCTTACCATCAAAAGGAAGCTTCCAGCCGGGCGTTGGTGGCGCACGCCTTTAATCCCAGCACTCGGGAGGCAGAGGCAGGCGGATCTTTGTGAGTTCGAGGCCAGCCTGGGCTACCAAGTGAGTTCCAGGAAAGGCGCAAAGCTACACAGAGAAACCCTGTCTCGAAAAAACCAAAAAAAAAAAAAAAAAAAAGGATGCTTCCAACTCAGTTCCAGCTTGAAATCTCTACACTACATATCCAAGATGTATGGTGTCTTCAGCAATAAGGTCTTATTCACTAGTTCTGATGGGGAGCCAAGAAGAATGACATGCACCTATATTCTCTTGGAGACCTCCAGGGCCTCCCTGCCCAACAGCTCCTATGGAACTGGGTTTTTGTTTTGAAACACATTGCTTCTAAGATCTCCCATTTTGAGCCTTGTAGGGTGTCTTGCATTCAAACTCTTTTGTGATTTTTGTACTGATTGGGTTACCAAATAATAAGTTTCATTGAGACTTTTAAATACTGTCTGCATTTTCAGTAATCCATCCCACTGACCTACTCATCACCTCCTCCCCTACTATTTGCTATTTGAATATTTCTGCCCCCAGTACTCCTTCTCTACCCTCATTTTACAAATACACTACCATCCTCCTTTCCTCCATAAGGCCCTGCCCATTTCTAGTTTTCTGAGTTCCAGGGGTACACCAAGTTAAACACACAAAACTAAAGCCTCCAGGATAGAAACTGCATGTGAAAGAGATGTGGTGTTTTTCTTTCTGGGTCTGGCTTATCTTCCTCTATATTTTTCCTATTATATACACTTACCTTTCATAACACAGTTTTCTTAACACCTGAAAAAAAAATCCATGGTATACATGTGGCAGACATTAATTATCTAATTAACTGTTGATGGACAACTAGGCTGATTACATTTCTTAGCTATTGTGAACAGAACTTCCATAAACATGGTTGTATAAATGCCTCCACAGTAGAATTTATATTCCTTTGAATATATTACCAGGAGGTGGTATGGCTGGGTAATATGGTAGTTCTTTTGTCAGTTTTTAAGAAGCTTCTAGACTGATTTCCACAGTGGCTGCACTAGTTTGCTCTCGAACATGCTGGTGTATAAGTGTTTCTCTGTCCCCACATACTTGTTATCTTTTTGTTTGTTTGTTTGTTTGTTTGTTTTTAGGTTTTTGAGACAGGGTTTCACTGTGTGTAGCCCTGGCTGCCCTGGAACTCTCCCAGTAGACCAGGCTGGCCGCAAACTCATGAAGACCCACCTGCTTCTGCCTCCTAAATGCTGAGATTGAAGGCATGCACCACCACTGCCTGGCATTCGTTAACATTTGTGTCCTTGATATTGAACATTCTCAAGGGATGAGATGGAATCATAAGTGATGTAAACTTGCATTTCCCTAATAGATAAGTGTTTACTAGCCATGTGTATTTCTTCCTTTGAGAATTCTGTTACTGCTATGGCAAATCTTAGAACTGGGTTATTTTCTTGTTGTTTAGATTTTTGAGTTCCAAATATATTCTAGTTACTAATCTTCTGTCAGATGTTAGCTGGGAAATCGTTTCCCCATTCTTCACTGTATCTTCATTCAATTAAGTTTCCTTTGCTATACAGAACTGTTTTAGTATCCTGAGATCCAATTTATCAACTATTGGATTTACTTCCTGTGCTACCGGAAGTCTTATTCATACAACCCTGACTTATGCTCCTGTGCTGAAATGGTCTTCCTACTTTTTCTTCCACCAGGTTCAGAGTTTGGGTCCAACATTGAGGTCTTTGGTCATTTGGAGGTGATTTCTAAAGGAGAGGTGTAGGCACCTACTTTAATCTTTCCACTTGTTGCTATGTAGGTTTTTTAGTATCATTTGTTGAATAGGCTGTCTTTTCTCCAAAGTATATTTTGGGTCCTTTGTCAAAGGCCAGTACTAGTTTTGTGGATTTTATCTAGGTTGTCTATTCTATTCCACTGATCTAAACATCTTTTTTGCTATGGCTGTAGTACTGGTTTGAAATAAGGTGTGATGAATCTTTCCACAAAGTTGATTTTCTTCAGAATTACCTTGGACATCTGTGTCTCTTATGTTTCCACATGTATTTCAGCATTTTTCCCACTGTATTTGTGAAAAATATCTCTGTAATCTTGATTGGTACTGCTTTGAATATGCAGTGTGCTTTTAATAGGATGGCTATTTTCACATATTGATTCTTCCAGACAATGACCATGGCTGGGGTGCCTTAGCATCTCCTAAGGCCTTCCTTGATTTCTTTCTTTGATGTATACCTTTAAATTTTTCTTATAGTGTGCTTTCATTCCCATGGTTAGGTTTTTCTGTCCAAAATTTTGGATTTTATGTTATTTGTTCAGCTATTGTAGACTCATCCATACTTTCAAGCTGACACGAACAAGAGAAAAAACAAAATAGTGACATTTCTTGAGTGAAGTAACAATACAGTCTTAGTCCAGCACCCACAATGCCAAAACCAAGCTCCCCTAATCACTATCTCTGGGGATGCCCAGCCCTGTCAGCTGTCAAACAGTGGTGGTTCCTGCTCCTGAGCTGCTACAAACAGGCTTCACACATGATCAAAGAATAGGCTTTGCTCAACCTTGACCTGAGTGACCCACAGGTGGAGAACTGTCCTGCCCCAGCATCAGGCCAGGGTTTGAGTCTCACTCCAGCACTTACTCTGCAGGTGATCTTGGAAAATGACTTAACTCATTTGAGTCTGACCTTCCTCACCTGTAAACTGTAGGTCAGAATTAGTTACTGGTAGGATGATTGGAAAGGTTAAATACTGTTCATACCCATCTCACAATGTGATCCTTAGCTGATGGGAGCATTGTTGCTATTTTTTTTATTAATCCAACATGTTTTACATGTTAATTATTTTCATTGGGATTCATTAAGATCTATTCCCTTCCACGTGAGAAAGGATCCAGATACTGGAAAATTATAATCATGGCTCTCTTATGTCCTCAATCTGTTTTTAATCATGGTCCTTCGGTCATTGTCTTCATTAGATGCTCCAGTTTATCTATGAATGTAAGGAATATCATCCTTCCTTCATACAAATGGAGTCAGAGCTTCCAATATTACAAACCGGGTCCTTCAGATGACTTCACTGAGCTGTTAGAGCAGAGTGAATTTAGGGTCTTCTCAAACCCTTGGGAATTATTCATGAGCTGAAATTTATTAAACCCTTTCACTTGTTGGAAAACCAATTCACTGTTCCATGTCCTCAGTTTTACTTCACATTGGTTCAGACATCAAACCAAGAACACACATTTGTGGCATGTAAGTGTACAAAGCCAAACAAGGACAAGAAAGAAGTTTTCTACCCAGGATCAAATGTCAAATCATTTAAGGTAGCAAGGGACTTGGTTAGCTCTCCACAGAGAATACAGTCTAAGATAAATTTGAGGATATGATCCTATGGGAGAAATATCTATTGCTCATCCACATGTCTTCCTCCTCAATGATGAGAGGACTGGTGCCTAGATTCCCTGTGTGAGTAAGGAAATGTCACCTTCCAGATTATATCAGAATTTCTGTAGTTCATTCTCAAAATCTCAGGCATGGGTGGGAGTTTCACAGAGTGCACTGAGTGTTGGTGACAGGCATCATTACAGACGCATCATCTCTCCTTTCTTCCAGAGGACCTCAGATCTGCACTGCCAATGATTCCTGCAGCCCACAAAGGTCAGTATGAGAAGTCAGAGAAGCCAATAATATTCTGCTGGTAGATGATCTGATCCTTGAGAGAAGGGCGGTGAGAAGGAGGGAACCACACTTTGCAAACCTCACCAGAAAGGGTTAGAAGAGGCACATGCCCAGGGCAGAGTTCCTCTCATGCCCCTTGCTGCTTCCCATGTTGACAATAACTCCACCACTCCCAACCTGAACACCCCACCAGGAACCCCTCTTCCTGGTCAGGTAAATTATCAGCCTAATAACTGGCTTCAGGAAGGTACAGATATTTGTTCAAATGACCTTACAGAGGAAGAAGGGAGTCAGGGGTGCAGATGAGGTACGTGGAAAAAAGTGGGCAGCCAGTGGGAGAGTCCATGGAGGGGCCTTTCTTCTCTCAGTAGTCTCATCTTCACCCCTAGATGCCCCTGCCTTGCTACACTTCGTGGACCAGCATCGGGAGCAGCTGGTGGCCCGAGTGACATCAGTGGACCCTGTCTTAGACAAACTGCATGGTGTTGTGCTGAGTGAAGAGGAATATGAGGTGGTGCGGGCTGAAGCCACCAACCAAGACAAGATGAGGAAGCTCTTCAGCCTCAGCAGGTCCTGGACCAGGGCCTGCAAAGACCGAGTCTACCAAGCTCTGAAGGAGACCCATCCTCACCTGATCATGGACCTCTTTGAAAAGTCAGGTGGGATCTCTGTGGGATCCTGACATCTTAGTGGCTGAGAGGCAAGTACTCTCCTTTGAGTCCTGGCTCTGCCTGACATTCCTTTGGTCCTCAGTTTATCTATAAACCTGTGGCCATCTGAGTTGCCTTTTTGAGGGCACTGTTTCCAGGACACCCCTTGGAGACCCAGATGTTCCCCCTTGGCCTTCTGCAGCCAGATGTTCTCATGGGATGAGCATCTCAGAAAACTTCCAGTGGAGCCAGCAAGTCTACTCAGGCCCTGTTGAGCCTGCTCTCATGGCCTGAGTGGCCCGGCTTGTGCCCATCTGACCCACCATGATACAGGCAGAACTGGAAGTGTAGGAATGGACACAAGGAGATGGTCCTTTCCCTGGAAAGTCAATATCTTATGAATAGGAAAGGATGACGGCTTCTCACACATTTCCCATCTCTTTTTCCCAAATAATTTTTATATAACTTTAGCTATTTAGATATATAAGTATATAAATCAAACATTTTTACTGAATATAAATCTTAAAGAATTTTATATTAAAACAACTGCTTGTTATAATACAATTTTACCATTTGTTAAAGATGACAGCAAATTTCAAAACTAGTGAGATGGATTATTTATATTTGCATGTGGAGTTAAGTCTTGGTTGAATATTTGATGCCATAGACGGAAGAGAAACTTCAGTGTCTCTCAGACTCGGTGGATTTTTGCATCTCTTGTGCTTTACACAGATGTGCAGGGCACATTCCCAGTTGGAAATTCTGTCCTAATCCCAAGCCAAAAATTTACTTACCACAACTTTCTGTAACTCAAGTCAGAAACTCAAAACACAAATTTTAAAATCAAATGGTCTCACATAACACAATGTAAAGATATGCTAATGATACTCACATGTTAAAGAATAAAAATAGAAAAATATTTAAATCTTTATGTTCCATAATTAAGCTGTCATGTTTCTATGAGAGCAGAAAATCATGTATGCACAGGGAAAATACTGAAATCATAGAAAACAATAGCCTAGACTCTGAGTCAACAATTCTGAGGCGTTTCAGAATTCATTGGGGAAGTATAATCTGTTGGCTCAAGCAGGGTGAAGTACTCATGCTGTGTGCTCAGACCCACAGGTGTGAGGAAGTCTCGAGAGGGAAGAGGGTACCCACTGCAGAGACATCTGCATATACTGTGCACACTGTGAATAAATCTTGGCCATTGCATGTGTTCTTGGCAAAATTTTGCAACGGCCATATTTAGTTCCATCATCCCATATGGAGGTGGGATTCACGGGTTAAGAAACTGATGTGCAGTGTTAGGTTTTGTGACTGAACAGAAGGCTCTGTGGTTCAGAGCCTTTGCTGCTATTGCAGAGATCAGATTTCTGCACCCTGCACCATCATCAAGAAGTTCACACCTGTGAATCCAACTCTGTGGGATCCAACAGCCTATTTTGGACTTCATGAGCACTGACACAAAGGTTCACATTCAAATACACACACACACAAACACACACACACACACACACACACATTCACGTGCATGCACATGCACCCACACACGATTTCTTAATTTTTAAAAAGATGAGAAAGTGGGATTCCTCTCCACTGCTCAGCCACCTACCACAGTGGCACTTGAGTCTTGCAAGGCTGTATACTTGTCCCAAGGGTATCCCTGCCAGTCTCTTTCCCCAGGCCACCCGATTTCCCTTCTGCATCTAGCTTCTGCTTTGCTCCCTGCCAGGCCCATGGCCAGAGCTGTTAGCCTGACTTCTCGGTGCCTCCCATCTTTTTATTCCTCTGAACTCTGCAGATGCAAAGTACAAGCAATCTGGACAGTGACCAAGAGTTTTGTTGCTTCAGTCAGATACTGGCACATTCACAGGGAAAAGAGTTAGAGAATAAACTATCTCATATGAATTTTCCTTCCAAGAAATGTCACGATGCCCTTTCTGTGCTGAGTGTCTCAAGATGGGATCAGTGCAGTCTGCACAGCTGTTGTCATTTTACAAACACAGTGTGGTGTCACCAAGAGACTCCTGAACCTGCAGTAAGGTTCAGATCCTTTAATAAGTCTGAAAGGGACAATAAGTATTTTAAAATGGAGATTTTAAAGTACACTTTCATCCAACAGGAGCCAGTGATTGGGGAGAGCTGTGCTTTACACAATGAAAAAGAAGTTTATTGACAAGTTTACACCGTTTGTGTTATTGATAATTAAACACAATTGTGACAGTAAACTTCTGAAAAGTGAACTTTAAGATGATTAAGACTTCATATTTTTAAATGTCCCATAGTCAGCAGCTTGCCTAAGGAAAACTCATTTGACATGAGGCTGTAAAATGCCAACTATCTACTTAAGTGGCTGTCTGCTGGGGGAACAGACTTTTTTTTCTGTAAATACCCACTAGTGAAGAATGTTTCATGTCAAGTTACCAGCTGTGCTTTTCCTGTCAATAAAATGTGTTTATCAGTGTGACCTGCCACTAACAGTCACAACAGAGAGCAGAGGGAACCTGTTTCTGTGCCTGGAGTGTGGGGGAGTGAGGAGGTGGCTGCATTTTCCTGCCTGGTCCTTCCTTACATTGTAGAATTTTTTATTTAACATTTTGTGTCTTCCAGGAGAAACATTACAAAATTTAAAACCAAAAGCTTTGGATCTTGAAACCTCAAATGTTTATTTTTTTCTCAAATGTTTAAAAGTATTTTGTTTTGTTTTACCAAAAACATCTTTATTTTTTAGTCTACAAAAAACTCTTCTTACAAAATAATCATGATTAGCATAGAAAATGGGCATATGTCTTCAAAGCATTTCCCTTTAACAAAAATTTATTTTATACAATATGAACATTAAGAATTTGGGC